AATTAAAAATTTTATTCCCCAACCATTTTTTAATATGTTATTTGAATATGGTATAGATTATATTCACCCCAAAAAATGGGTTTTTATAAAAAAATTTTTCAGAGAATTATTTTTACCTGTAAGTTTTACTCCAATATTTATTTTTAAACTACCAATTATTAGAACATTTGGTGATCTTTTTGTAGTATTTAGTATGACATTTGTTTTTTTAATATATTATATAAATGTAACTTTTGGTCATCAATATTTAGTTTTAATCGTAAAGGAATATTAATTTATAATAAATTTTTTTTTTGTTTTTTATAAAAATGGTCTTAAAAATTTTTTGTTAATTGTTATTTTTTTGATTTGTTCTTCGAACCTTTCTCTTAGTGAATATGATACATATATTCACTAATTTATTTAAAAAACTTATTATTACAAAATTAATTTTAGAGTTTTAAAAAAAACTCCAATTTTATTTCTAAAATTTACTTAGAAAATTTATTCGATATGGATTCAGATATTGAATCTATATATTTTCAAAAACTTGAGAACTTTAAAATATCTTTAAATACAACTTTACATACCCAAAATTTACTTAGAAACTTATTGGGAATATATCAAGACCTTTTTCTCGACATTAATTAAAGTTGTTATCTTAGTAGAATTGGAGTTCTTGGAGTTAGGTTTTCATAAAGAAAATAATCGAAGAACTTAGAAAATATTCTTATTTAAAAACAGTAGATTAGATTTTTAAATTTCTTAGTTAAATTTTAAATTACAACAAATTATTTTTTCTATTAAAGTTTATTTTTTGTTTCTCTACATGGTCTAAATACTTGTTTAATAGTTTAGATAAGTAGTTAGTCCATATAGACAAACAAATTTTATATTTATTTTTAAATAATAATTTATTAATTTACAAAAAAATAATTTATAATAAATAAAATTTTTCATACAAATAAGAAATAATTTTACAGAATGTTAAAATAAAAAATCAAATGATTTATACATATTTCTAATAGAATCGTCTTCTATATCATCAACATCAATATTACTATTTACTAATACTTCAACTGTTAATTCTAAAAAAATTTTTTTTTCATCTTCAGTTTTATAATATCCCATCATTTCTGATAATATATTTTGGATGATATTAATATTTTTTTGAGTAAAACTAAGTCTATCAAATAAAGATTCTTTATATTCATCAATTATTAATTCTATATTTTGAATATCATCAATTTGTTCTTCTTGCATCCAAAGTGGATTCCATGGACTATATTGTTTTTTTCTGTATATTAAAGGATATGTTTTTAATTTTTTATATGTTTTATCTTTTTTAAGTCTATTTATTGAAATATTTGCTTTCTTTCTTGGCTATTCATCATATAGATAGTTAATTAGTTCTTTTGTTAGAGCATCAGTTTCTTCAATTCCTTTTTTTGTATATTTATTTTCTAAGAGAAATTTTTCATCTTTTCTAAGAACCCACATATAATATAATGCATCCAATAAAGATTTCTTGTTTTTACTAATATCATAACTCTTTTTGATTATATCTGATATTGGTTTGATTTTTAATCTTGGAAACTTTTTTAAACTATCGTTATCTAATGTCTTTCTATATTGATTGATGATATATAATATCTGTGATTCAGGAGTACCATTAATATTTCTTTTAGAATCTGTATTACTAGGTTGTCTTAATATAGAATCATCTGGTGTTAGTAGTCTTTTTGGTATTTTAGTTTTAGGTTGAATTAGAGTTTGTAACAAATTAATTTTATCAATTCTAATTTGGTTTAATTTTTCTTTAGTTTTATCTTCTGATAGAAAATTTTCATCTAAAGATTCATCAATTGCTTTTTCCCAATCTTG